CGCATGAGATACCGCCAAGCCTCGATGTATGTGGTGTGGATACATGGGGTCCTCTTCCAGATACGGCAGTGCAATGTCTCCGAGCTCGTTCTCCAGAACGCCCATCATCTGTAGCTCATAGAGGCGACACCGTAGAGCAAAGATCCGGCCTTTCTTGCGCGAACGCTTCACGATCCTGTCGGCCTTCCTCGGCCTCGTCAGCTCGAAAATAGCATCTGAGGTGCCGGTCCAAAACGAAACGTCCGCCCAGTACGGCATTGCAAACCTCCAATCCTCTAGGGAATCTGACGCTGATCTGCCTGTATGAGGCAGCACTGACTGCATGGGAGCCGCAAATGGTGTGTGCGTCATTGAGCCTAGCAGAGACTCGTACTGTCGAGGCGTCTTCTCGTCGGCTTCGAGAGGGGGCTTCACATGCCCGCCTCTTTCCTGCGCACGCTGTCGGCTTTCAGAGTCTAGTGCGGAGATCGAGCGTGGTGTTCTGTACTTGAACAGTGGCACTGAGTGCAAGGGCATTGGCGACAAGCACACGAGGTCGATGCCTATGCCTGACCCCATCAAGGTATCTGTAGTCAGCTTGAGCATGTTGTAGTCAACTTCGAAGACGCCAGTACCCGGCGTTACAACGATGACGGAGATGCCGGTGCGTACAAGATCGCGATCGATGTAGTCCTTGGCGAACTGAGCTGCCGCGAGGTTGATGGCCTCGAGTATGTTACCCTGACTGGCAGAGGAGGGCCTACCTGCAATGACAGTGCCGTTGGGTGATGACTCTTTGTTCGCTGAGCCGACGTGCACGCTCTGGGTCGATGACTTGGGCACGATGGACACTTCTCGGAGGAACGTCCTGAATTCCTTTTTCAACTGATAGAGGATATTGATCCAGTCGCCACTAGCCATATCGCTGACCACAACCCGGTAGTAGTCCCGCGAGCGCTCCAAGGCCGGCATAGAGTCGTTCCTACTCGTCGCGCCCAGTGCCCCGTCAGAGACGAATCCCTCGTGCTCCATTCGCGTGAAGAGTATGATGGTGACCAAGTGCCGTGCATTGATCTTCAGCCATCGTTTGAACAGTTCTGGTAGGAACCCGCCTACAACCTTGTTGAACATTATCTCGCCGGCGCCTTCTGCATCAAAGTCCCACATCTCCTTGGACATTTGGATGAAGAGGACGTAGCGGGCGGACTCGCTACGAAAGACGGGCTTGGTCCTTGATGAGAAGTAGCCAGAGTGGACTGACTGCCCGTGGATGTAAATGTGCTTGATGGTAGCTTTAATGGTGCCCATGAACAAGAGTTTCTGGCCCTTGTAGACGGTTCTCTTACTGAGCTCTGATATGGCCAGGCGCCACATGTCAGCACGCGCAAGGTACTCATCGCGGAAGACGAGCTCTACGTGATGAGCCTCATGCTTCTCCTCATCAGCCTGCGCGAGTCAGCCTGGAATTGCAGGGGCAGAACGGGATCAATACCTCGGCCACGATGACCTGCATGCGGTTGCGAAAGCCAAACACCTTGGCAATTCGCTCTGAGATGGACACGTGAAGGTTCGCATACTTGGACCTGAGGTCCGCCGGAAGCGCTGTGACGGCGAACACGTAGGCTTTGTCCACATCCGTCTCACGTCCGCCGGGAATGACAGTACCATTCTCTTCGACGGTCAGAGTCATCGATCCGCGACGACTCTTCTTGGGAGTGCCGTCGCCGGCTGCATCTCCAGCACTTGTGTCCGGGGCCGTGTGCGTCTTCGCAGGCGCCTTGAAATCGCGGACAGAGGTGCCAGACTCGCCTGATACGATCTGCAGCAGTGTGCCAGGCGCCGTGGGCAACTCGGGAAATTTATCTCCATTGAACACAATGTCGTCTCGCGAGAAGTTGTCGTCGTGCGTCCACAGCGTGCAGATCTTTTGTATTCTTGTTGATTTCATGCTAGACATGCTTGACAACCCGCACAACACGCCAAGTTGGATGGAATTTGGCACACGCAGACCATCAATTCAGGAGCCCATATTCACTGACAAACGATATAGCGAAGCAGATGTGTTCATGCGGGCTAGTTGGGACACGCTCGTAAGTCTATGGAGACGAATGGATGGTGAGCCGCGGCCTCCACTTGCGACTAAAGATGTGGCAGGGTTCATGGAGCCGTGCCAAGCCAGCAGACACGTGATAGCGTGTTTCGGTCACACTAGCGCCAACGCATAGGTACCAAATACTGCCACTGCCCCGCAGCTTTCTGCTCTTGGTCATCAACACCACGCGGCAAGCATGCACTACCTTTGCAGTACTAGGTAACGGACTGATTGTACTAGCGCAGATGGCCAGCTGTGTATCAGACCGACGCTGGTCGATGCGACTAGTTGACGGTTCTGATCTCAGCATCGCTGGCTGTTGCAGCGATACCAAAGCGGAAACGCAGAGGTTTAGCGAGAGCGTTCCGTGATCCATTTCGTTACCAGCACCGCACTCTTGTCTTTGAAAGATCTCTTGGGTACACCGGAGGTATCCAGCCCTGAATATGATCTAATTCGGAAACAACACCTAACCAACCTCGCGATAGTGACTCACAAGTGGGACCTTGACGCGAACGATGAAGCTCCCTAAGCGCCTGGCCATAGACACCGCGTGTCGGTGATTGATACTGCATCGTCAGTCCCTGATACCAGCTTTGCTGGTGATTGATACCGCTCGTCGGTGAATGATACTAGCTTTGCTCGTGAAAGATATCGCTTGTCGATGATCGATTCCAGACCGTCTGGTGATGAGACCGCTCGTCGATGAATGAAACTAGTTTGTCTAGTGATGAGACCGCTTGTCGGTGCACGATGCCGCTTGTGGCGCCGATACTGCATCGTCAGGACTGATACCGCATTGTCGGTCTTTGTAGCATAGTAACAATCTAAACGTCTTTTGCGGCACCTGTCGACACACTGCGTGATTGCCCCAGTCTTCATGTCGTGCTCGCAATGACGCTCACCACTTACCAAAGCCATGCTGTCCTAACAACATAGCGGCGCGGGTGCCTTGGACGACGTCTTCCTGACCACTGTTCAACACGAGTAATGACAGGAAGTCTGTGCTTCTGTCGCCGCATGATTGCAGCTCGCGTTGGCCACAGATATTGCACATGTAGAGAACGGCGTCTTCATCCGAGTATGGCATTCGTAGTTGTTGGAGGATCTCTTCTGCTCGCATTAAGCTTTGGAATTGGAGGGAACTCTATTGGTCTTTGCTATGTGATATGTGGCTCTGTATCCAGAACTTGCAACACGCCGAGCAGAGCTTTGGAATAGAGACATTGTATATGGGCAGCCTTAACAGACTTCCCTAGTTGGATTGCTGAGACCGCTGTATCGCGATCTTCTCAAATATAGAGCCATCGAAGACGCCTAGAATATCGTTCCTCTGGAGCCTGCCATCTTCGGGCCAGAGGAGGATGTACAGTGCAATCCCTTGGATTGGTCAGCATCGTTATCTAATGCCATAAAGACCGAGGCTTACACTCTAATCCACCAGCAAACCAACCGAACCAGTCGTTCGCACAGCACTGGCCTGCCCACACATTGTATAGCGTTCTCAGTGTCAGATGGTCCTTTCCCTCTCCGTACTTGGTGAAAATAGCATCGAACCGGCGCATGTCGATTTCTGCATCCATGTCATAAGTAGCAGTAGTGCTCCCATGCCTGCTCCGGACGATATTGTCGAGCCTGATGGCAAAAAGAGGATGTGGAATCCAGCCCGATTGAGTCACGTACGATGAACATAGTGCCATACTGACAGCAGCCCAAAGACAGAGCGCAATGTGAAACCCTAGCTTGCGGAATCCTGTGTAAATGTCCCAGGGATAGACCAGGCCGTCGTGATCGGCATCCCAGAAGTCGCAATGACGCCGCAGGGCACTGCGCTTGCTGTTCGGTTCTCGGAGCAGTTCTTTACCTTTGCAGGTATCCGTTGGCTCACGCTCTGCAGCTAGTGATGCCTTTGCTCGCTTGGGCTCTCCTGTCACGCCATCGTGACACATGCTCACGTCTTTTCTGTTTAAAGCATCGTCGGTGTGTTCTTTCCTCCTCGTGGAAGTATTGTCGGCAAAAGTCTTTGAATAACTGGTCCAACTCGGACATGTTGCCCGTTCCTTGCGTGGTTTTGTCAAAACATGTCCGCCTTTGGCCGTCTGTGGAATAGCAACATGCATCGCAGCAGATGATCATTTGACGTCCAAAGTAAGAGAAAAACAGCATCCAGGCTTGTGAGTACGATTGCTCCATCGCACGCGACATACCAAACAACCTTGAAAGTCGTCGCTCGGACCTCACCGCTGGGAATGACATTCAACTGACGTATCTCTTGGCACAGGTGCTCGAAAGGGAATGCTCGTGTTTGCTACTGATTCTTGCTTTCTATGCAGGTTTACCAGTCAGCAATTGCGGAGACTGTCTTTGCTATGCTGTGGGTACATTCTCCGTGTCTCCGACTTTGCATCGTGAAACCGAGACTTCCAGGTTCACCATTATGCCCTGTCTCCAGCAGCATCATGTTACTGGCTTCTCTAACTGCTGTATGCATATGTAGCGATCATGACGGAGATGTCAGCCAGATAGGCACCACGCCATTCCATGTCGACAAGCTCGGGCCCACGGTGTCACTCCAGGCATGTAAGTATGACGTAACATAACCAAGGGCGGTCTCTTGAACCCAGCGAAGGTGGGATAGCAGCGTGCGAAAACGTGCAGGCGCTGCTTTCCAAATGTGTTGTCTCTAGCTCAGTCTGGACGAACTCTCGAACGTGGCGTCAAACACCCCACGTGCCAATGTGCCGCTTGGCCCACTTATCAGAGTCTGTCAAGTGCGGGGTCACGAGAGCCGCATGCGCTTCACGCGAATATCCGCGCGACTCAGTCTGCTCAAATGTCTTTTTTGTGTATATATTACAACTACATGTGGAAATGTCACAAACAAAGCAGTAATTCCCGCTTCCTTTGAATCTAGCGAGGGGCCACAACCGGTCTAATAGTGTAGTGGTTATCACTCTGGATTTTGATTGAACATCAAATGCTTCCAGTAACCCCAGTTCGAATCTGGGTTAGACCTCTATTTTGCCGACTTATCTTCTGCGGACGGATCTGTTGGCGCAGCACATGGCTTTTTTTTGGGCAGGATGCTACCAGTGTAGGGTGTGGGATGCATAGGACAAGAAAACAATTTGGCTGACTGATCGATAACACAACTTCATATCTGCTTTTTTTTGGCACCATACCTTGTCGAAGCACCACCATGTATGACCAGGATGAGAGCATGGAACAATCGCCCAGATATCCCTGATCATTGCAGTGCAAGGCCGACAGACACCGCACACCACAATGTTGGGCTCGGCTCAGCGTCATTAGAGTATATGTATAAGTTCCAGGTTCGTGGACGTGAAGGTGGGTACATCCATTGACAGCGGTTGCCCATCACTCATGATCTGTCTGCTTCAGCGCAAAAACCAAACTCGCAGCTCCCAGAGCGCCCATGAAACCAAAACCTAGCACGACCGCAGCAAGAGAGACGGGCGCCGGCCGCACGTCCTGCTGGAGCATGGTCTGTATTGCCGCATCTAGGCGCTCGCCCATTTTGTCCTTGGAGAACTCTGCAACTACGCGCAGCTTGCCCCATCTGCCCATCTCCTCCAGCCTCCGCTCCCCTTCTCCGTCCTCCAGGGCAACACGCATAACCTCGGTCCAGTCTTGCACCCTGCTCACGTCTCGCAGCCAGCCAGTCTGGCCGCTGACGACTGTCTCCGTGGGCCCGCCTTCGTTCGCGGCGAGCACGGGCGTCCCAGCAAGCATGGCTTCGAGCGGCACAATGCCAAAGTGTTCATTGCGGGGCGTGTAGACAAGAAGGCGCGACGTCGCCAGCAACGCTGCTTTGAACGCACTGGGGACAGAGTGCAGGAAAAGAACCGCGATGTCGTCCGGAACGCTCTGGGCAGAGATGACCGTCTTTGCCGTCGCGTGCTTCAGCTTGAGGGAATCGGCCAATTGGCAGAGTTCGGCGTATGTACTGGTGTTCTCTGGCACCCGCGGATCGTATCCGCCAGCGACGACGAGTCGGGCATGGGAACGCTCGGTAGGCGAAAGCCCTGCGTACGCCTTGATTGCGAGCGCCACGTCCTTCTTCTGCTCGAAGCGGTTGATGCTGAGCAGTACCTTTTTGCCCGCCCACAGCGGCTGGCTGTCCATGGGGACATTACTGACGCTCGTGTCCACACAGGGATACACGACGGCGGGGTTGCGGTGCTTCAGGCTGGGAAATGCATCGGCAAAGACGCTCCTGGTGAAGTTGCTGTTCACGACGATGCTATCGCTGCAGCCTGTGCTCCAGCTCTCGAGCGCGTCAAAAGGCGCGCGGTACAGTGTCTTCAGCCATCCACCCTTCTTCGCAAGCAGCTTGTCGGGGAAGTGGCAGTAGAAGATGACGGGGGCACGGGGCTGTAGCAGGCGCAGGAGAGGCACGCCGGCACTCAGCTGGTCGACAAAGAAGCTGGTGGGGGCGAGGCGGCGCAGCTCGTCGGAGAAGAGGGCGATGTGCAGGATCAGATGCACCTGGCGGAGGATGGCACAGAGAATCGCGAAGCGGCCCAGAAGCGTTGGGGGGACGAGCGTGTTGCCGCGCACGCGCACGTCGAGGGTTCCTTTGCGCGGCGTCAGGATCAGGGTCAGGGTCAGGTGCAGCGGTGGGCGGTGGTCAGGTACCGTCGCGGGCCTCGTCGAAGCAGTGCTGCGGGTCGCAGTGCGACGTGAAGATGGTGACTTTGTGCCCGCGCCGCTGGAGCGCAACGGCGGCGTCGATGACCAGACGCTCTGCGCCGCCGATACCCAGGTCTGGATGGAGGAAGACGGTGTGCTGCTCCTGCGCGGCCATGGCTGTGCAGAGACACGGTGTCGTCGATGCGGGAGCTCAAGGTACCTGATGAAACGTCCGAAAAGGCCTAGCGCCGTTCTTGCATGCAGGGCAGGTGCGTGGACACGAGTGAACGATGACCACGCCTGCACATGACACCAGAATAACCATCCTCTCTCACAGAGACGCCGCTTTCACGATTCTTGCGCAAGTTCTTGCAAACTGTGGACTGCGCCGAGCAGCAAACTTCGTGTCTCCATCGCTCATGATGCGGGCAGCCAGACACCAGCATCGTCCTTCGCCATAGTCCCCACCGTGACCATCCACCATGGGCCAAGGCTTCTCGCTCACCACGCTTTCGGCAGGGTCGGCCAACATCGACGTGCCTGAGCTGGCTGACCTGCAGTATGAGAAATCGCTCGGTGCAGCCCGCTTCATGAAAGCCGTCCGTGCCCGGCACAAGGACGGACTCGTCGTGGCCCGGGTTGTCATGAAGCCATATGCGCAATTCAACTTCCAGGTCTACGTCAAGCGTCTCCTCCGTAAGGTCTATGTAACCCGTGCAGTCAGGGTACGCTGACCAGCCCAGACGAGCGCAAGCTGCTGGCCGAGGTCCCGAATGCTTTGGCATATCACAGGATCATTGAAACGGCAGCTTGCGGTTACCTGGTGCGCCAGTACATCCACAGCTCTCTGTATGATCGCCTGAGGTACTGTTCTCCCGAACCTGCCGCTCAACTGCCGGATTAACTTGAGCCAGTACTCGTCCGTTCCTCGAGGAGATTGAAAAAAAGTGGCTTTCCTTCCAGCTACTCTGTGCTGTCCGCGACTGCCACGCACGGGACATTTTCCACGGCGACATCAAGACGGAGAACATCCTCGTCACCTCCTGGAACTGGCTCTATCTTGCGGACTTCTCCTCGTCCTATAAGCCTGCACACTTGCCCGAGGACAATCCCGCTGACTTTTCCTTCTACTTTGATCTCTCCGGGCGACGCACCTGCTATCTGGCGCCAGAACGTTTCCTTGCCTCTGGCCAGCAGCCCGAGGGAAAGGGGGACGTCAACTGGGCCATGGACATATTCAGTGTAGGCTGCGTCATCGCGGAGCTCTTCCTAGAGGCTCCCATCTTCTCCTTAAGCCAGCTGTTCAAGTATCGGCAGGGGGAGTACAATCCCGAGCATTCCCACTTGAGCAAAATTCAAGATCCCAACGTCCGCGAGCTCATTATGCACATGATCCAGGTCGACCCCGACTCGCGAATGTCTGCTGATGACTATCTCATGCACTGGAAGGACAAGGTTTTCCCTGCGTATTTCTACGGGTTCCTGCAACAGTACATGCACTCGATCACGGATCCTTCTTCAGGCCGCAAACCCGTCACCACTGGCGCCGAGCACCTGGGAGAACCCGACGAAAGGATTGAGCAGATATACAACGATTATGACAAGATTTCGCATTTGCTCTCAACTGGCGGAGAACGTGCAGTTTCGAAGTCCTACCACCCTCCACCGAGGCCAAACGCACGCATCTTCCCACTCTTTGTCAACATACCAAACTACCAGCATCAAGTTTCGGCCACGCCAAGCCTCGCAATTGACGATGGAAACCTCATATTCCTGACCATCGTTGTCTCCTGCTTACGAGGGACCGCCAGAGCGTCGGCCCGTGTTCGTGGCCTAGAGCTGCTCATGGCTTTTTCAGAACGCTTGACAGACGAGGCCAAACTCGATCGGGTGGTTCCGTACGTAGCCCAGCTACTGACCGACAATTCGGAACAGGTCAAAATCGCAGCGCTGCGGACACTGACGCAGATTCTGTCGATGGTTCAGGTCGTCTCGCCGCTCAATGCATACATCTTTCCCGAGTATGTCCTTCCGCGACTGGAGGCATATCTGCCCGACTCTGCTGCACCGACCAGCGCGCTCGTGCGTATGCAATATGCATTTTGTATCGGCACATTGGCAACCACAGCCGCCAGATACCTCGACATGATTCAGGCGTTGAGGGCAGAAGGATCGTTGCCTGCAGCTGACCCGGAGACTGAGGATGACCTAAGTTCGTCTGCCCATCGCAATCAATTCGATTCAGATCGCCGAATACTACTCGAGGCTCTGGAGAAGCACACCAAGGCCCTGCTGACGGACACGGACGCTTCTGTCCGTCGAGCTATGCTGCGATCTGTCTCTGATCTGTGTGTGTTCTTCGGCAGTCCTCGAGCAAATGACGTGGTCCTCAGCCATCTCAACACGTACCTCAATGATCCCGACTGGTTGCTCAAGTGCGCATTTTTTGATGCCATCGTTGGAGTGGCAGTGTTTGTGGGCGGCGCGAGCCTGGAAGGATACATCCTGCCGCTCATGGTACAGGCCCTGACCGACCCCGAAGAGTTCGTTGTCGAGAAGGTCATACGCGCACTTGCCGCCATGGCTGAGCTGGGTCTATTCCAACGGTCAAAGACGTGGGAGCTGGTAGACATAGTTGCCCGTCTTACTATGCATCCTAATCTCTGGATTCGTGAGGCCGCGGCGCAATTCATCTCCACTGCCTCAAAATACCTATCTGTTGCGGATCGGCATAGTATATTGGTGAACCTCATCAAACCGTATCTGAAGGTAGTCCCATCGGACTTCTCCGAACTGAGGATCCTCGAGTCCTTGAAAAGCCCGCTGACGAGGCTGTTGGTCGAGATGGCGTCGAACTGGGCGCTACAGGCACAAAAAGGCCTGTTCTGGGCACCCGCCCAGAAGCGGCAAACTTTCACGTTCGGCACTAACGAGGACAGTCTACCTTCTATATCAGGGCGAGAGCTAGACCAAAAGATCTTGCAAAGACTGCCCAAGAACGAAGAAGATGAACTATGGCTGCGCAAGCTTCGCAACGCTGGGCTCGTGGCTGATGATGATTTCAAGCTTGTCGCACTGCGGGAATTCATCTGGAGAGTCAGCCACCGACGGCGCTCCGATAGTCTGAGTGCGCAGCCTGCCAAATTCAGTAACATTGTCGCTCTCAAAGATCTAGGGGTGAAGGCATTGACGGTGCTCTTTGACGACAATGTCCGTCAGACAGTAGAGGAGTCACGCAGCCCCGAGGCGCAACATGGCTCACAGCCACGAACGATTCGCGATGCATTGCTTGATGCCTCTACCACTGAAGCGGATGCATTGGCTGAGCGGATGCCACGCATTGAGGGGCAAGCTGAACGCCTG